AAACTTTTCTGTCATGGCCCAGTTAAGGGCCAAGAACTCTAACTACATGGAGCTGTAATTATTCATATTACGCTCTGCTGGCTTGAGGCCCCAACTGGCATATGCTATAGGCCTGATCTTACCATCTTGCTCTTGAGAGAGGACGGCTCCCAATCCACTGTGGCTGGCGTCCACTTCAAGAATGAAGGGCAAGACGAAGTTGGCATAGGCGAGCACTGGTGCTTCCACAAGCTTGTGTTTTAGGCCTTCGAAGCTCTGTTCACACTCCTTGGCCCATGCTGCCATAAAATTCTGCTCTGACTTCTACCGGGTCTTGGGGCCTCTTTGTGCAGCAACCAGCCGGTGTAGAGGGGCTACCAACTTTGCAAAGCCATCCACAAAGCGCCGGTAATAGCTGGCAAAGCCGAGGAATGATTGCAGTTCAGCCACATGGGTTAGGCGCTGCCACTTAGATACTGCTTCGATTTTGCAGGGGTCGGTAGCCACACCTTCTTTGGAGATGACATGGCCCAAGTAGCCAACCTCCTCCTTGAAGAAGCAACACTTCTCCAGCTTAGCCTTAAGGTTCTCCTGCTTCAGCTGCTCCAGCACAGCATGTAGGCGCTCCATGTGTTGGGCTACAGTGGAAGAAAAAATGACAACATCATCCAGGTATAACAGCAAAGATTGACAATGTTGGGCCCCAAATATCCTCTCCATCAATCGTTGGAATGTGCTTGGGGCATTGCAAAGCCCAAAAGGCATCCTGTTCCACTCAAACAGGCCGAAGGGAGTACAAAAAGCGGTCTTCATCTTGTCCTTCTTCGTGACTGGCACTTGATTGTGTCCACTAGCCAGGTCCATAGTGGAGAACCACCGGGTCCCAGCAAGTGCATCGAGGGGCTCGTCGATTCGTGGCAGGGGGAACGCATACTTCCGTGTCTTGCTGTTTAGCATTCTGTAGTCCACACACAACCGAAGACTGCCATCTTTCTTTTTCACTAGGACAATGGGCAACGTGAAGGGGCTACTGCTCTCCCTGATAACCTGTGCCTCAAGAAGCTGATGGATATGGGCTTTAACAGCATCATACTTTGAGGGAGGAATGCATCTATACCTCTGTCGTACTGATGTCTCATCAAGCAGAGGGATGTCATGTGAAATCAAGTTAGTGCAGCCTCAGTCTCCCTCGTGAGCTGAAAATATAGCATTGTGTTTCTGTGGTAAGGACCTGATCTTACACTGCTCCTGCTCGGACAGGGCTGACAAATCAACTGCACTAAACTTCTCCTGCACTGAGTCAGTGGCTGTCTGGCAAGATACTGTGGCTGAAATATGTCCCTTGACCTCTGTGACCCCTGTAGGTAGACCCATTACATGAGTATAGCTGAAGGTACCTATCACAGTGCGTGGATAGAGCACAACATCATTGACCCCTACATTAACTATAGGTATGTAGACTGTACCTCTTTTCAGCCGGACCAAAGCCAGAGATGCCAATAAACCAGCAGGTAATCCGGCACTCAGGGCTTCAAACAAGGCATCATAACCAACATGGTGCTGGGAGCAGGTAGCTGCCACCAGCTTCATGGTACCACCCGGGACTCGAAAACCCTCCAACCCTTGACTTTTACTCTGCTCGATTGGTCAGGGGGTGCATTGACCTGGGCTTGGTGACACTGTTGGAGTGCTTGTTGGAGTTGGCTGGGGGCCTGTGACACAGAGGACAGATCTAAAAGAGCAGAGCCATGAAGTACAAATAACTCTTTGTAACAGGGTTTGATAATTCAAATTCATGCCTAAGATACCTGGGGCAGAGGGTAAATGACCAGGGGGCTCTTTCACAACCAGTACACCTCGTTCGGTAATTACCTTATCACAAAGCTCAACATCAAGCTCGAGGTAACCAATATATGGTATGTCAAGTCCATTAGCGGCCTTAAGCTGAAGCCAATTACACGACCTGAGCGTCTCTGCTCCCCAAGATTCAAAGTTCTCAACAAAGAAGCTTTTGCTTATGGTGGACACCATTGACCCTGTATCAACCAAACATGGAACCTCAATCCCTCCCATTAATATGGTTATGTGTGGACAGGCTGACATCAACTCCGGTATAGCGTCTGCGTTCCCAGGACATGGCTCTGAGCCCACTGAGTACCCACCTGAACTTTGCCTCAGCAGTTCAAGGGGTGAAAGTTTCCCGACTGCTGATTTGTGAATAAGGCCTATCACTACGAGTCTGAGCTGGTGCCTGAACTCTTTCACCATCACAATCACTTGCAAAATGACCAGCCTTCTGACACCTTTTACAAATTACAGACTGTTTCCCAGTACGAAAACACCTGCGGACATTCTGGAGTGCAGCAAGACTGCTACTAAGCTGGTTTAGTTGTTCCTGTTGCTGTTTTAACATTTCCTTTAACTCTGCCAACACGGACTTTGAGTCTAGGTTACCTGACCCTGAATGAGAGCCTCCCAGTATGGCGAACTGAAAACCTGCAGCAGATGGGACAGAGTGGCTCCTACCTCTGGCACCCCCTGGCATTCCCTCTCACTCCCATCTAATAGCCTCGCTACGGACCTCAAGTAAGGTGGCAGTGGGATGACTTCGGACAAACTACTTTAACTCCCTGCGGAGAGCACAATCATACACATGTTCAACAAATTGGTCATGCAGCAGTTCACTGGAGTTTGGCAGGTTATTAGGAGCATTAGTTAAAACTCTGTCCATCAAGCACATCAAGGCATCTGGATAGAAATGTAGAAAAGGTTTTATTACAATTACAAATTTATTCTTAACAATATTACTTTTCTTTACAAAAAAAACAACTTCCAGCAGGAATAACTAAAACTATGATAGGCATGGGAATAGTGGGCTGATGCCAGTAGTGGGGAGGCAGATGTGTTCCAACAGTGCAAACTCACCCACCACTCGTGTTCTCACGGCAACTGGCAATCACAGCAAACAGGTGTTCAATATGGTGTCCCAGTGCTCTTACCACTACAATCTGTGAAGGGAACCGCACTAGAGTGTCCTAGCCTCCACCACCAGCCAGCAACCAGCTCCACTAAAAGGGGACAAAGAGTATTAATAAAAGAACAAAAACAAAATAAATGTAACAACCAGTTGGTTCACTCTAAAATACAACCTAGCCTCACGGCTAGGCAGCTACAGACAAAGCAGATACGATACTGTCTGAAGGCCACCACGTATCAAGGCAGCATTATCAAAGCTAAAGCTAAAGGCAAAAGAGCAGTCAGTAAGACTTAAAAAGTACAAGCATATAACATGTTAATAACAAGTTCATAACAGAGTAATAACATGGTAATAGCAGGTATCTCATTTCCATCAACTGCTAGATACAATAACCCATACCTTGACATAAAGATGCATTGACTATGCAAACTTGAGGGGGTTAACATCCAGGTCTCAGACAGCATCACGTACCTCAGAATCACAGAGAGGGGACCATGTGGCAACCAACAGGCAGAAAGAGCAAAAGGCAGCCATGTTGCCACAAGTGCTTTAAATACCCTCAGGTTGATTAGGAGGCTGGACCAGGGAGGAGTTGACCTAATTCACACCAACAGGGAGTCATGCAGCCTCAACACAAAGTGTCCCTGCTACAATCGCATATGTTCTCGTACTTTTGCTGCTGTGACATTTAGGCTAAAACTTTCTTCTTGGGATAAAGAAAAAAGTTGATTTTATTGTAATAATAATAATAAAAATTAAGAAATCTAATAACCTTTATTTGTATAGCTATTTAACCCTTTGAAACCTGACAGCAAGTTGGCTTGATTTCTTTAAAAATACAGGAAGAAGGCAGTGAGCAACAAGAGATGAAATGACCCAAAAAACTGCAAAGTCTTAACGCTGCTGTGAAACTGTGCCTTCTTAGGGCAACAAAAAAGTTTCTTGGGTGTGTTGGTACAATGGACAACCAAGAAATGACGGCAGGATAATACTGGCACACCAATTCAACTGAGCTGGACAGCCACAATAAAGGTTCACAGGCTGAGATCAATGTCAAAATAATGTCAGTTCATTCAAAGCACTAGTGCATAAAAAGAAGGGTGCTCAAAGTGCAAAAAATAATAAAAAGTGGTTAAAAACAGCAGCAAATGTTTCAGTCCTTGACTATCACCAGTGCACTGATGATGTTTAAATTGCAAGAAATTAGTAAAAAAAGAAAAAAAGTTTTAAAAAAGGAAATTAGTAAAAAATGAAAATTTAAAAAACGTAAAAAAAGAAAATTCAAAACAAGAAAATTAGTTTAAAAAATTAAAAAGTAAACAAACAAAGAAGGAAATGACCTGAAAAGGTGCTTAATTCATTAATTACAATAATTATGTACCATAAAGTTAAATATGTATTATTATCATAAATATCATTTTCCCTAGCTTCTTCCTTTTTTCTGTTTTTTTTTTTTAAATATTTATTTAAATCAGTGATTTTTTTGCAATTTGATTCTCACCAAGTTGCTCATTGACTTTTCCCCCATGTTTATGAAGGAAATCATAGGCTACTGATTAGCTCAGGTTCCAAAGGATAAAAAACAAAAGTACATATTGATTCACAGTCAGAGAAAAAGACTTAAAAGGCCAAACATGAACCAGGACATACAAAACATGAGCAAAGAAAAGGTTTTCTGTTCATAAAAATGGGCTAAATTATTTAAAACAGATAAATCTTAAAAAGCTGAATTAATTTTATACGTTAGGGGATTATATATATATATATATCACACACTGTGTCAGACAGTGTGTTAGTGTGTAAACACCCCGGTGATCACCACCAACAGGTATCAGTCCCAGGATTAGATAACTTTAATGAGCAGGTACAGGTTCCCTCTCGGATCAATGACGGACCAATCAGAAGCCGCGCTCCGCTGACAGCCCGCTGAGGCGGGGCATCACACCAGACGCTCTGCGCGCTCATTGGACGCTGCGCGCTATGCCCATGACGCGCCAACCAATCAGAGGCGTCAGTCGATCTGACGAAGTTGATGCCTGAGAGCCGCATTCTCTCCCTGGTGCTGCTGCCGCTGCTGCATCTCAACGACGCATCGCGTTGATGGGGAACATCTCTGTAGGGGCACACATCACTTTGACAGAGTAACAGCTCTACACCACAAAGCAACATGGACATCCTGAAGTCACTGGGCCACCCGGAGGAGATATTCAACCTGTTTAAGTTTAAAATGGGAGGCTGCAGAGCCGTCATGCCAAAGTTGGATTACGTGAGTAATTCCTCTTTTTGAACACACACACTAAGAATAAACGTGCGCATAAAGAAAGCATCGACAGATCGGAAAGATGTCTGCATTAACAGATTTAACCTCTCGGATCAAGTAGCACATCATGTCCCCCCTGACAGTATCATATCTGCTCCTCTACAGCAACACGGAAACACACACATGCCTGCTATCACCATGTAAACTGCATTAATGGATCGACCTATATGGTGCTCAGTTCCTGCTGCATGAGCCCATGGAAACACACTCAGCTAGTTGCACTCATTAGATCTCTCACTCCTGCGCTGGCTCGGATGTACACAGGCAGATATGACCATTGACTTGGGATTTACGTTACGTAATGAGCTTGCAGGGTTCAGCGGCGGGGAGAGGTGCTGTGCGCATGTTTGACGGCTAATCCTAATGTTTTAACACCAATGTCACCCCGAAGGAGAGGGGAAGCCAGAGAGGGATAGTCTGTATTAACTGCATCATGATTTGACCAGTGAGTCTATACAAGGCCCAATGTCCCAATGCAGAAGTTTAACTCAGTCATGCATAGGGAATCTGGTCATGTTATTAGAGTAATAGTTTTTCAGGATGGTGTTGGATGCAAGATCATCCTCACTTATCTTTGGGAGTAGGATGAAGGCTCTTAAAACAAGCTCACAGCGTCCTGTATGCAAATCATGTTCAGAGTAGATGCTAATACCACAACGCAAAAGCCCAACCAGGCAACATTGCAGAGGTGGATTTAGTTACTACCCATGGGTGTACTGGCACCAACCAGTGTTGCAGCTTTTTCCGTGACCTCATCAAATTGTCCTACAAAAGTAGCCACACACTTCTTTTCAGTCATTTAAATTGAGCTATTAAAACAAAGAGGAAATTCAGTTTGACTCTTAGGATTTTGCAATATTGGCAACCCCCTAATATTTAGATGGAGTCACAGATTTTGATTATGGTGACAGAGCACCTGATATCACTGGAGTTCAGATACCTGGCTCAGGAATACAGAGACATTATCTCAGATATCTGCCACCGTATATGCTTTGGAGTAGGAATGGCTGGATTCCTGGAAAAGAAAGCGGGATCCATGACGGAGTACTTACCCCTAATATTTTCTGTCAAAGCATCAATATTTTTCCACATTTACGCTTCTAGCACCACAGAATCTGACAGCAGGTCACAGATTGTACTGCAACACCTGCACATACAGTCCTTCCCACTGTCTCCCACCAGGTGTCAACAAAGTACACTGCTATGCTGTGTATGGTTTGCAGCAAGAACAGCTTGAGTCACCTCTGGGCCCTGTTTTTCAAATGTGGTTAAACTAATTTGAGCTTACATGCTGTTACCAGGCTACACTAATCTTCTTATTTGGCTAATTTTGAACATTTGAAAGCAGTTTGCAGATTTATTAGTTGATCCTGGATGAAGTTAACACTGTGCTCTTATTTTGAAAGAGAGGCAAAATGAGAAGAGAGTTGAAATTATAGTCAGAGTTCATATTATTGGTCGAGTGCTGATCATGTCATTGCAGTTTCATGAGGTAGATGTGTTGAGAACCGTCCCAGCATGCACCGGTGTAATAAAATCATGGACATTATGTGCTTTCCTGGACTGTTACAGGTGTTGTTTTGCTCTTTTCTCTCCACACTTTAATCACTGTAAAACACTTTGAGGCGACCAGTGAATGTTGTTTGACTATGGGTGTATGATTGTTGGGTGTATGATTGGTTGGGGCCTCCTGTGAGTTTGCAAGAGACATTTAAGTGATAATCATAATACTGCTGTGGAGAATGTGAAAGTACATCGTGCTGTGTGGGATGAGGGTGCCATCTTTGAGATATGCACCCTGTTATCTCTGTTACCGAAGTGTATGCACTCAGTCCAAAAAAGCGTACAGTACAACCTGCTCTGTGATTAATTAATCTAAATTAATTACATACATCAATTTTTGCTGTGAAAGTATCAAAAAAATTCAATTGGAATTAATTCTGGAGTTCGTCGGTCACAGGCAGACTTACTCTTTTTTTGTGTCTGATTGCCTGGTTGAGTGTAGCTTGACGAGGCTGTGCTAGCCCTGACCGGGTTCATTGCTAAATACTTTGCATTGAGGTGATATTTCAGGCCTGAAGTACTCAGATGATATGACAATTCTTTACTGCAGAAATTGCAGAGAACAGGTGGTTTTTTTACATGTAAATATTCCATTTCATTCATGTCTGCCAAAGTCACTGTGGCCTTCAATGGCGCACTGGGTCAAAGGGCTCCACAGTGTTTTTTTTAATGTGTTATTTTATCTGTGATTAATTAATGGACATTAAAGTGTTATTTTGCCAGGCGTAATAAAAAAGATAATATTAGCAGAATATCTAATAGAGTAGCTTTAATTGCACAAACTATTCAGCAAAGTGACTTTGCAGTTAACCCTTTAATTTAAAGTTTGTTGCGACACTTTAATGTCAAATTAAATGCAATGTGTTCTGGCTCTTTTTGCTTACAATATTTCGGGTTGTTTTGAGCTTTTTTTTAGTGCACAAACTTTTATTTTGTTGTATTGTTTATCATGTATGCATACAAGTAACTTAATTGTGATGATTGTTAACACGCCTGCACTTTTGTAGGTTGAGATTTCAGGACATGAAGAACCAAAAAATTATTCAGACTCATGTCAAATAATCAACATTATAATCTGGATAACTCCATGTTTGCAGAATTGGCTCCTATTTTTGACAGTGTTAATAAGATTTGCTGGATATTAACCTGTATGAAAGGGTGGAAGTAGTAAGACAGCACTGTATGACCTATATTACATGCAATCACTGGTGACTGGAGACCAAAACATGCATGAGTGCCTCCCTCATGGTGACGATGGTCCCATAGCTCAACCTCCTGCACTCTGTATGCGTGTGCGCAACATGAGCTTGCATACGCAGCTCCAAATATGACCTACTATTCTAGAAGTGTGTTTCAATTGCAATCTCTAGCTTCACTCATATCACTCTCTGCTCTGTGCTGTGACACAGTCATGTGTGTGAGGTTTGCAGCGGATTGCACACACGTTTCCTCTGCAGAAACATGATGAAATGGCTCGTGTTGTTTTTGGTAGAGGTGGGAGGAGCAACAGCGTGATCATAACAGCAGATCTACAGACGCTCTGCGCAGACTCTGTTGGACGATACAGTGTTCTCAGATCAGCGGTGCGCCACATTTAGCTCCCCCCCGTCCTCTCTATGTGTTTTTCACCTTACTCGACCCCTCTGCTCGCTTGTCCTCTACATGCTCCAAACCTTCCCACTAACCGGGCCGTCGACATGGACGGAGTCGCTTCATAGCCGCAGCAGGGTCGGTGGAGCTCTCAGGTTATTCGCATGGCCGGAGCATGCTGCAAGTGTCCAGTCTCTCTGTCCGTGTTCAAGCGCTCTTTCTCGGTGGCGCCGCGGGGCAGCGGGTCCGCCCCTCGGTGCCTCCTGCCGAGCCGGAGGCTGGGGGAGCGGGGCCTTCAGGAGGCCGCCCGACCCTCCAGCGTCTTCAGACCTGCAGGCTTTTACCGACACACGACCTTCTTCTGTCTCTCCTGCCAGGAGGCCATGACGGAGAGTCTGCGGACCTGCTATCTGTACCTGAACCAGACCAGCAGGAGCTTTGCAGCTGTGATCCAGGCGCTGGACGGGGAGCTGAGGTGAGTTAAAGCTGGCTGTAGGTGGAGAGGGGTGTGTCTGCAGGCATGTTTTCTTTCCTGAAGGGCAGAGCCATGGGCGGTGGCTGGGCACTTCCCTTTTTCCTCGCCACTAGGCCAGCATTTCACTGTGAACTTGTGCAGAGTGGCACGTGTACACCGTTGACACTGCTTCCAGCATGTTTGGCATAGACCACATGGACTGGATCTTATAAATTCTCTGGTGCATTTGTCAGTAAACAGCCCATATATGATTTTACACAAGCCAGTTTATCAGTAGCTAATCGACTGCACCACATGCAGCAGCCTCAGTTAACTATCATGCAGCGCATGGCTTATCCAAACCTTTCAGCAGATTTAAAGGAGCAGTACACCTATTTTAAAAATGTACACGTTGTTCCAATGATCTAAAACACAGCAAAATACAAGGCAACAACTCTCTCCTGAATCCAAAAACTAGAATGCTAAAACTCAAGTCTGGAGCTGCTCCATAGACAAAGCTGTTATAGATCAGTGGTTCCCAACTAGTGGGTCGAGGTCCAAAAGTGGGTCATGGGTCCATTCTGAATGGACTGCAAGTGACTAGTGAATTTGTCAACTTTGTAAAAAACACACTTTATTTTGAAATACAGTGAATTTCTGGCATGGAGTTTTTAATTTGAGGTGGCGTTTCCTGCCGTAGAGTGACTAACGGACAGCTCCTTTACAGAGACCGAAAACTAGCTGGACGACAGATTTGACACTAAATATATTAAACTGTGCGGACCTTAAACTGATGACGAGGGGCGGTACACATGCCACGTCTTTAACTGCCTGGAAAATGTTCGTTTAGTCTATAGAATATAATGTATGGTAACTGGTAAATACATTAAAGTTAATGAACAAGTATTCATCAGATCTGACAAGGTATCCCCCATAATATTAATCAGTCAACGTGTAAACAAACAAATGTTTAAATGCAGCCATTCAGTAGAGAGTTTAATGTGTATTTAAGTTAAAGTAACACCCATCCATCCACCTGGTTATTCGTATCTGGGTCATGGGGGCAGCAGGCTGATGATATGATGATAATTAATGATCATCATCACTCAGGTCAGATTTGTCAGCAGAGACATGTCAGTTTGTAAATGCTCATCTTAAGTGTGTGTGTGTGTGTGTGCGCACTGTATATATCCTGGGTCAAAGGGAATCCTCTACATATAGACTAACCTGATCTGTGGCGACCTGCTTGACTTGCCTGCTATATTTATCACCTTGTGTCAGCCCCTCTATTTATTATATATTTACCTTCTTTACTGTAACTTTTTATTGTACCTTACTTTTCATTTTTAACCAATGCTTCTTGTTTTGCCCTGTCCCCTTTCCTGCGGTAGCAGTGCAAATTTCCCAGCTGTGGGACTAGTACAGGATTATCTTATCGTTTCTTGCATGTGAAGGACACGACAGCCTTTCAGTCAGCATGTGAAATCTCATCTCATGTCTTTCTCTTCCAGACATGCCGTTTGTATTTTCTACCTGGTGCTGCGAGCACTGGACACAGTGGAGGATGACATGACCATCCCTCTGGATAAGAAGGTTCCCATGCTGAACGACTTCCACACCTACCTGTACCAGGATGAGTGGTGCTTCACAGAGAGCCAGGAGAAGGACCGACAGGTTCTGGCAGATTTCCCCACGGTCAGTAGCACTGTGTTTGTTTGTATCAGCAGCTGTACTTGAGTGGGCGGAGTGTAGAGTAGACATGGGTGGAACTTAAACTGAAAGTGTGTGGGACCCAACCAGACGTTATATTTTTCAGCCTTAAATTGATGTGGGTTAATCAAAAGTTGCTATGTTTATTATTTATCAGAAGTTGTTTACAGAGCAGCCTCAGGATTGAGCTTCAGATCATTTTTGATCACAGGACTAAGAGATTGAACATAGCTACCCAAATGAGGATTTTCCTTCATTATACATATAGTTTCCCCATACCAGGCAAGGTACTCTGTCTCTGTCCCAACCCTCACCTATGGTCATGAGCTCTGGGTAGTGACCGAAAGAATGAGGTCGTGGATACAAATGAGTTTCCTCAGAAGGGTGGCTGAGCTCAGCCTTAAAGATAGGGTAAGGAGTTTGGACATCCAGAAGGAGCTCGGAGTAGAGCTGCTGCTCCTTTGTGTCGAAAGAGGCCAGTTGAGGTGGTTCAGGCATCTGATCAGGATGCCTCCTGTTAGAAGTGTTCAGGGCACGTCCCACTGGTAGGAGGCTCCGGGGCAGACCCATCTGGCCTGGGTACGCCTTGGCATCCCCCAGGAGGAGCTGGAAAGCATTGCTGGGGAGAGGGATGTCTGGGGTGCTTTGCTTGGCCTGCTGCCCACTCTGCCCGGTTTCGGATAAGTGGCTGAAAATGGATGGATGGACATACATAAAGTGACATGTTACGCGGATGATACTAGTTTTCTTTATAGCCCGGTACATTATCCGTACTGCATACTCATTTTGTCCGAGTATTCGGCTCAGCTCCAGTAGGCATGCACATTAGGCTCACCAAACTTAATAAACAGATCCGGTTTCTATTTTAAATTCAAGAGTAACAGACAAACAGCATTCAGATTCACTATCTCGTTTTTTCTAGTTTTCTGAGTTTAGTTAGTAAATTGGTTGTCTAAAATCTATGATGGTACTCATATTAAAGGCTGTTATAAACCAGTAACTATAATCTCCATGTGTGTCTCTGATCCAGATATCACTGGAATTCAGAAACCTGGCTCAGGAATACAAAGACGTCATCTCAGATATCTGCCACCGTATGGGAGTCGGAATGGCTGAATTCCTGGAAAAGAAAGTGGGATCCATGAAGGAATGGGACCTGGTAAATATAACCTTGTGTCACAGTTATGTGAAGATTGCAGCAAAAATGTAAATGTGTGTTAAATAACAGTAAGAAAAAAATGACTGTAGCAACACAAACAGATCTCTGGCACTGTTTGTGGTACGCTGCACTGGCCGTGACATTTTTATCATACTTGTTAAGTTGTCACTATAGAATCAGACACCATGTCGTCTCTTTTCATCGTCTGTGCAGTATTGTCACTACGTGGCGGGGCTGGTGGGTATCGGTCTGTCCCAGCTGTTCTCTGCGTCCCAGCTGGAGGACCCCGAGGTGGGGCGCGACACCGAGCTGGCCAACTCCATGGGCCTGTTCCTCCAGAAGACCAACATCATCCGAGACTATCTGGAGGACACGCAAGAGGGACGTGCCTTCTGGCCACAAGAGGTAAGACTGGGAATGTGTACTTTTGTCCTATTATGAGCGTGTTTGTTTTACCCGTGTGACGTAAACGAGCCTCACAGTTATTCAGTATGATGTAATATACAAAAGGTGTTTGCACTTCTCTTTATGCCGACGATTCCGTGACAGCTGTGGCTGGATTGTGTTTTCGGGTTGTCTGTCCGCCCCGTTCTCGTGAACAAGGTAACTCAGGTGCGCCTGGAGAGAATTTCTTCAAATTTGGCACAAACGTCCACTTGGACTTAACGATGAACTGATTCAATTTTGGTGGTCAAAGGTCAAAGTCACTGTGACCTCCATAAAGCATGTTTTTGGCCATACCTCTAAAATGTCTTTGCTAATTATTACAAAATTTGACACAAATGTCTAACAGGATAACATGATGAAGCAATGACTTTTTAAATCTAAAACAAAGGTCATCTTCACTGTGACATCATAATGTTCTACAAAAACACTTTTCCCGCCGTTACTCAACGTCATATCTCAGGAACAGAAGGGGAGACATTTGATCAGCTACTGAACTGGTGACTGATTTTGCGTGTCTTTAAAACTGTGCTGGTTGTATAAATCCTTGTGCTGGTGGGGGAAAGGTATATGACACATCCACATTTTTAGAATTTGTAGCTTTTCCTCAGAGACATTCGTATTTGAAGCATTGTTATCTGTCATGACTTAATATGAATCTGGACAGACATGGATGTAAACTTCAACTTGACTGGTTGTTGAAGGCAGACAACCATGAGGTGGTAATTCTAGTTTTGTTTCAGGACGGCAAAGGCATCACCCACCCTACTCTGCCTTTCTGTGTCTCTGATTGGCTGACGCTTACTTGCAAAGAGTGCCAGCCAGTCAGAAGGAGAGGAGGGTGGGTCGTGCTGTTGCCATCCTAGAAAAAAAAATGGCTTTAGGGAGAGGTGCTTGAAACATTGGCTAAAACAGAGCCTCTCAGGAAACACCTCAGAAATTGATCCCAGAGGGGAGATTATGATTTGTTACAGTTGCTCCGATGTAAAGAACAGAGAATTAGAATATGAAATAAAAGTATGTAAATATAAAGCAATAAAATAAGATAAAATAAAAATGAAATGTGCATTACAATGAAATAAATTGTGCATTATGCTACTGTGTTTAACACTTGTACTTCAGATATAAAAATTAAAATATTAAAATAAAATATAGAGAGTATATATCGTCACTGTGCTGAGGCTTTAAGTGTGAAAATTTAACTACACTATATACATCAGTATATAAGCAATATGTACAGTTGTATGTCGAATTGATATAAACATTCAAGAGTTGAAAAATATTGCACAGTTGAATAATTGCACAGAATCTCGCAGCAGTTGAATTATTGCACCCAATAGATAATTATGAATTATAAATGCAGTAGGTGGCGACTTCCTGTGGCGCTCTGTGGTGCATCTTGGGGGAATGAGTCTGTTATGTGGCCATTAAAGTGTGTAAATATGTTTTAGTAGAAATCTTAAATACAAGTATGAACCTGAAAATGAGCATGATAGGTCAGCTCCTAAGAAAATGCTTCAGAATAGTTTTCTTTCTTTTTCAATTCCATTATGTATTGGAAAATGTACATTAATATAACCTCTGGTGCACCTTGTTGTTCATAATGTGTGTGTTGAAGCAGCAGGGGTGCACTGGAAAGTTGACTTAACTCAAATATTAACATTTTATCAGTCTAAATTATAGTATATTCTGTCTCTATAAAAAAATAATTCAGCATGGAGAGTTGTTTTTCTTAAAGAAAAAGGAAGCAATGAAGGGAGAGAAAAAGAAAAACAAACATAAATTCTTTCTACGTTGCTCATGTTGCTTAGAGATCTGCTGAATATCTACGAAAAACCAAAGTATCACACGTGATGTGTGTTAATATCTCGTGTCCCTGTGCAGGCTTGGAGTCAGTTTGCCAATCGGCTGGAGGACTTGGCTCAGCCTGAGAAGCTGGAGTCGGCTCTCTCCTGCCTCAATATGCTGGTCACTGATGCTCTGCGACACGTACCGGATGTTATCGCCTACCTGTCCCGCCTGCGCAACCAGAGCGTCTTCAATTTCTGTGCCATTCCACAGGTACACAGTGGTGTATAATTTACTGCCCCCGACCAATGCAGTGATGTAATTTGATTGGTATGATGTGATATTTAAACACCACAGCTCTGGTAGAGTTGACAGATGCAAGAGATTTTGACTGCACATTCCTCTCTTGACCAGGTGATGGCAATAGCTACACTGTCGACGTGCTACAACAACCCCATGGTGTTCCAGGGAGTGGTGAAGATCAGAAAGGGACAGGCAGTCACACTCATGATGGAAGCCACCAACATGACAGCTGTGCAGACCATCATCTCCCAGTACAGCCAGGAGGTGGGTGTGTTTTTCTGTTTGCTTTCATACAACAGCCATATCGGAGCACTTTAACACATCTCACTCTCCCTCTCTGCAGATTCTACAGAAGGTCTCCCTCACGGACCCGTCGCGGGACAAGACCCTGCACATCCTAGCTGTGATCCAAGAGAAGTCCGCCCTGTCACAGTCCAGCCTCCCCTCCAGGACCCCCCACCTGTCGCCCATGTACCTGTCTGCTGCCATGCTGCTCGCCGCTCTCAGCTGGCAGTACCTCAGCACCACCGCAGCACAGGCACAGGGCACCGGAGACATGCACGGACAGTGAACTCATCCACCCTCACCTTTTCCGGGGGGCCCACAGACTCAGAAAGCCCTTTGCCCACTCTGGAGGTGTGGATCTCCTCTGACTGGAGGAATCTGAAGCCCTTCTTCCCTCTTTGCCCTCTTGATTATGGCCGTTACAGGACCATGGCCATGTGTAGACTGTGGACGGTTTCTGGTAGCAGGCTGGTCTCTTTAGGTTGTGTGACAGTTATTTTGAGTAGTCCATCCCACGTCTGGATAAATTTTTCCCACACAGTGTTGTGTGGTTAATTCACCAGCATAAATGGCACATTGACAATTCAGGGCGTTTTGTTGTTTGATGTAATTTTATTTGTTTGGTTTGTTTAAAACATTTTTGACCCATATTTGAATACTTCAATAATTTAAATTACAAAGTTGAGTTTGTCTGGAACCTCTCAGTTTATTTTCGACATCCAAGGATAGACTTACCACCAATCAGAGCAACAGAATGACAAGCGCTGAGCGACGAACAAATGTAAACAGACTACAGCATGCAGAGATGAGCGAGTGTTGCTGTTTGACATGATCAGGCTTCAAACACAGCGTCCCACATTAGCTGCAGGCATCTTGGTTGTTTTTGAAAATGCCTCCATAGTGCATCTCTTTATTAATCTAGGTTTATGCTCACTATTGTGTCCCTGGCGCAAAGGTGCACAAGCCAAAAATGATGTTGTTGAAGGCTCTGCAAGTTGTAAATCACTGACTCAAGACCAGAGACCAGAATGGAATCACAACATCGCCAAGGACACAGCACCTTTTGGGGGAAAGAAACGCGCTTTCTCGTCAGAAGAGAAACAGCAAAATGCCAAAAGCTATTGTGTAGCAGGTTATAACTGAGGCTAACTAAGATCTGAGGCACATTAGATACGTGAATCTTCACTGTCAGTGTCGAGAATCTCTAAAATGATGCTGGTGACAGTTACACCTGAAGGACAGGGAAGTTAGTTTTATTTTCCACCTAAAGTGTGCTGAACTGGTGAAGTGCACACGACATGACACTACCCATTTCAGGATTTTGGGGGACACAGTCACCAAACTCCGTTAAGTTTTTCTTTTAATTTTGTGTCAAATCTTCATATTTTTCATGTCAAAGCTAGCTTAATATTCCATTTGTGATGTTTCCACAGGAGAAACACTCAAATGAAATTCATCACAGTGCACTTTACAGCAAATGCACTGCGTGTTAGCGTAGATGACGTGGACAGCATCCACTCACAGTAGAGCTTTATTTCACCTTTATGTCTGTGTTCTGTTTCTGTCGTTTTGAAATAGCTGAAAAAAAAAGGAAAAAAAATCCAAGGTAGTTTTGACATGGACTGTTTAAAATGAACGAGGGAGAACAAATGTAATTTCTGCTACATTTGATACATAAAAAGATGCACACTGAGAACGCTAGCTAAAGTGTCCTTAACGCAGCTTTGGTGAGTAGAAAGGCTAGCACACAGTAACCTTGTACAGAACCAAAGGAGAGCTACAAACATTGCTATGTAATGTGACATTTTGATTTGTACATATTTGAACAAATAAAGAGGTTGAAAGAATTTGAACAGCCTTAATGCTGATTTTGCACATTTTGCACAAGTCACACTTTGGTTTACAGCCTGGTGATTGTCATGGGGTTAAAATCAGTGAATTAGTTTATAGATGCCAGACTGTAAAAATATATTTTACAGCAGTTTCAAGCCTTGTATATTTTGCTTTGTTTTCATTAGTGATATGAGATTGCATATGTGTGGACATGCAGAAATCATCATGAAGCAAAACAAAGCAAAGGAAAGATTTTAATGAAGCCAAAAACAAAAGGCCAAAATGTTTTCTTGTTGCCAGGTCAGGATTTTATGATCACCTGTCAACCTCTATGTCAGTCACATGAGATGATTACTGACGATGCTTTATTACACAGACATGTGAGTCCATAACTTGCTGCTTGTAAAAAGGGGCAGTAAGAAGCGAGACGACTGGTGTTTGATTCAGTGACAGAAAGGAATCGCCCAGAAGAACATCCTTCGATAGAACTGCAACACAGGTAAAAGTCAAGACTTCGATTTAGGAAATTGTTTTTCATTTTCTCTGTAATGTCGTTAATGATACTTAATGTCCATAACATCTTAACATTTGAGTAGTGCTGGGCAATATTACCGATACTAAATCAATACAGTGACTTGAGACGAGATGTGTTCTCAGATTTTGGATATCATGGTATTTTAAGTGTTGTCTTTTCCTGGTTTTACAGACTTAAAGCTGTTTAATAATTTGCCTTTACCCACTTAATCATTATATCCACATTACTGATGATTATTTATCAAAAATACCATTATATAAATATTTGTGAAAGTATATTTCACATTTATATTTGAACTGATGTTAAGAAGAAAAGAGTTTGTGCAGCGGAGAGCACAGCACAACCTTACATGGGGTAAATTGTAACATGGACTTTTTAAGTGGTGACACAGGGTTGATCCTTCTGTGCTGCCGGCCGGTTAACTGCAATACCACCAAACAGTGACCTGCGAAATTCCATGGAGATTGGACGTGTCAAAGAGCTTGCCTTTTTTTGGCCGTTTTGAGTACATTTCTTTATCATATTTGTTTTTCGATTACTAAGCTGTCTATGTAAGTCAGCGAATGCGACCGTGTATCATCTTAATAACTGTCTCCTTGCCTAAAATATAGCACCGGCAAGTGTTAGCTAGGCTAGATAAAATTTCCACATAGCACGTTTAGTTGTAACGTGGTGATACAACTAATTCAATGCCTAATTCAATGTGGATGAGGCAGAGTCACTCAACAGGCTAAATCCAAAAACCCAAGGAAATGACACTGGGAGACAAAAGGCTGGAACACTACATACACACACACAAGGAGCTAAGATGAATTGGCACTGAGAGAAAACAAGACACACATTAAATACTCTGGTGAGGGGAAGGATAAGGAGACACAGGTGAGGCTAATCAGGGCAGTACAGACAATCAGACACAGGTGAAGTCATCAAAAGGGAGGGAAAACACACAGGGACAGGAAGTGAAGTGAACTGAAATGTGAAAAGTCAAACAGGAAACAACATGAACGAAATAAATACATAACTTAAGAAACTTGAGCTGTGACAGAGATATACTTTATATTTTTAATTTGTCAGGTATCTTCACAATTTTACAGTCAATATTCATGAATTCAATTCTCATATTTTGACATGTGGATTTAGGTTGCCCAATCTATGTCCATCTATCGGTACAACCACTGAATATCAGTGATAGACTAGTAGATGCTTGATAGGTATCTACATACATCTATTCATCAATCTATCACAGATTCATTAAGATCAGATTAATTAATCATCGGAGGCATTGGTGGTTAGATGAGGGATGTACAGATGTTTGGATACCTAGCATAGACAGATCCATAAACAGCACCAGCCTCTAGTAAGTAAATAGAACTGTGCCCCTCTAGATACTACTAGTCAAACATAGAGTGAACAGGCAGGTGAGACAGTGATAGTTTTGTTGGCTCGGAGTCTTCCAGGACACAGGTTTAGTCCAAAGCACTTGGTGTGGCATGCCAAAACAGAAAACAGGTGAGTCAGTGACGTCCACTGGATGCATACAAAGAGTAAACAGTTCAAACGTGTGCAGTGGTACCATGAGGGAGTAGACGGGAGGGGATGTCAGATGAGTAGAGGGTCCAACATCAGTTAACACACAAGGGAAGCCAACACACCTGTGAGGAGCCGCCTGTAGGTAGGACAGAACTGGCAAGGAGTCAAGGAACCATCAGTGATGATGAGTGGATGCCAAGTCGCGCATAGAAAGGCAGAATGTGCAGCCATGCGGTGAGATAACTCACAGCAAAGGAAATCACATGCCTCAAAACGGACACTAAGACACTAGGAACAAGGAAGCAGAGCTCTTGGTCAAGGACAGAAGGCTGAGTTGTTTGCCGAGGAGCAGGTGAAGCAGGATAGTCAGAGGCAGGCGAGGTCGGCAACGAGAAAGCAGTGTGGGAACTCATGTTGGGAAGTTCTTGCATAGGTATGACAAAGAACGATCTGGCCGGGAGAGTCTGTGAGGCTGGAGTATTTAAAGTGTCAGGGAGCAATGAGGCCCAGGTGAGAGGAGGATAAAGCTGTGATTGCCTTGGGATGCTCATTCAGTATTGTCTCATAAAACACCGTAATGTCTCATAAAACAACAACCTCTCTCTTTTAATTAATGGTTATATTGTAGGTGAAGAGATTGAGCTGAAGTCTAATTGTCATCTGCCTCACAGGATGCGATCCCTGGCTCTCGTTTCTGTACTTGTGACAGTCTCTGTCACCTGGGCTCGGCCTCACCACCCTCATGCCTCCTCAGAGATGATCAACCTTATTAACAAAGCCAACACCACCTGGACGGTGAGTACACTGGGGTATTCCTGCATTGCTGCTAACTATCTTTGCAGCATATGGTCACCTGAGGAAACCCTGCTGTCACAGACTGTGGTTGTGAATGTTGTGATTTCTGTAATCTCTCATTTGCTTTTGCTCCAGGCCGGGGAGAACTTCCACAACATTGATATCAGCTATGTGAAGGGACTGTGTGGAACCATACTGAATGGACCCAAGCTGCCAGAGGTGTAAGTTTAACCATGTATGAGGGCATGTGGGTGTTAAATGTGTGTGTTAGTGTGTGTAGTCTCTCACATGCCCAAACAGGTGACAGTCAGCAGGTTCACCTTATCTGCAGTGCTCAGTGACCGTCGTCCTCTCTTGTTCAGGGTTCACAGTACGGAAGGCATAAAGCTGCCAGACAGCTTTGACCCGCGCCAGGAGTGGCCCAACTGTCCCACAATCAAACAGATCAGAGACCAGGGATCCTGTGGGTCCTGCTGGGTAATGTAGACCAACAAAAGGACACAAATCAAAGGGCAGGACAAACTGTAACAGTGGTTCAACTGATGGAAACCAAAAGATAACTAAAGTGCATAAACCAATGTTCCCTTTTGTTGATTGCCCGCAGGCCTTTGGGGCAGTTGAGGCGATATCCGACAGGATATGTATCCACAGTGGTGGTAAGATCTCTGTGGAGATCTCTGCTGAAGATCTGCTCTCCTGCTGTGATGACTGTGGCATGGGGTGAGTACTTCAGTAACAATTAGTGTATTCCAGGTGTGTTAAAGGAATACTTCACTCCCAAAATGATCATTTATATATCAATTACTCACTCCGTGTTATGATGAATTTGTGAAGAAAGCCTTTATTTTCTCACATGCCTCCATGGTAAACGAAGAATCCAAAAGTGGAGAAAACTCTTGATGAATTGGGGTAAATGGGGTCCATGTTTATCAACAGCAAAATTATATCAAAACATCTGTTCAAACTCTCAAACAACTTGTGCAGCATAGTCCATGTCTCATTTATCCAGTGGTATGCTCAGTACTTCCCAAACAGACAGCCCTTTCTGGAGGGGAACTGAATTAAACATGAAGCTTACTGATCCTTTATTCAAATCAGTTAGGTTGTTTTATTGTGTTTGGATTCACCACAGTCACACAACACCACAAACAAAGTAACTGAGTGAGGCAGCGGTACACCAGCAGCTCTCATGTTAAGTGAGGTAAAATTACTGTTTTGTTGATTGAGTCTGGATTTGAAGAAAGCAGATTTAGGGTGCTTTCACACCTGCGCTTGTTGGTTTGCTTCAATCGAACTCAATCGAAATTGTTTGCCCCCTAAGTGCAGTTCGTTTGGGCAGGTGTGAACACAGCAATCACACTCAGATGTGTACCAAAACAACCGGACCGAGACCTTCTTGAAGAGGTGGTCTCAGTCTGGTTCCAGACGAACTCTGGTGTGGTTCGCTTGTGGTGAGAACGTGTTCCGACCTGGATCCGAACCAACTGCAGTCACATGACCCATTGTTTGGGTTAAACATGAGCATGTTACAGTCCTGGAGGATTGTTAATGTGCACCTCCTTCCTGTACTGCCTTAATATGCACATTCAGCACATCCAATGCATTAAACATTGTTTTCTAGTTGGGGCCGCGCCTCGTTTTCAAACTGTATGGTTTGACTAAAATGAACAATGACAGCAATATAGTCCACGATGAGCAGCGCTAAAATCAACCTGCGTAGTTGTCCCTCCATTGTGACATTAGAAAGTGTCACATTTATCTTGCAAGTGTACTCTTCTTCAACGTTTGGTTTACTTCCTGGATTTTTACCACATGGAAATTCTGACCAATCAAGAGCAGCTTTCTCGCACAAGGCATTTGATCTGGTCCACTTGTAAATGCTGCCGTGAGAACACGAACCAACTCTAGACAGTTATACAACTTCGTAACAAAATTAGACCCTGATTCAGACCAAAGCAAGACAACTCTAGGTTTGAAAGCACCCTGAGTTTCAGGTCTGTTTGTTCAGGAAGTACTGAGCATGGATAAATGAGACGTGGATTATACTGCACGAGATGTGTGAGAGTTTGTAAATGTATTTTTGGATATAGTTTTACTGTAGTTTAATGCAGTCGCCTTTGACTGCAATTCATCAAGCGTTTTCTCCGCTTTTGGATTCCCCATTCACCATGGAGGAATGCGAGGAAAACAGTTTCTCCATGAATTCAACATAACATGGGGTGAGCAACTCATATACAAATGATTATTTTAGGGGGTGAAGTATTCCTGTAGGAGAACACTGAACAATAATGCTTGTGGTGTTTTTATTTGAATGTGGATGCAGCTGTTTCGGTGGTTATCCCGAAGCTGCTTGGGAGTTCTGGGCAAAGAAAGGACTGGTGACAGGAGGCCTGTATGGAACCAATGTTGGTAAGTGTATCTTCAGTGTGAACTGAAACAGCTTTTTAAGGAAGCATTAAAAGAAAGTATTTAAAGTCTGAGCTGATATTAATGTTGTGCTTGACAGGTTGCCAACCCTACAGCATTGCTCCCTGTGAACATCACGTGAATGGGACTCGTCCTCCTTGCCAGGGTGAACAGGACACTCCTAAGTGTACGGAGCAGTGCATTGATGGATACTCACCATCCTATCAGAAGGACAAACACTTTGGTAAAGACTATAAAAAAAAAAAGAATCCATTTTCTCCTCCTGCAGCAGCTTTTCTCTGCCACATGTCTGTTGTCTTGTTTCTATTGTTTCCTGTGTCTCCCTCTTCAGGTAGACGCACATACACTGTCCCGGCCAAACAGGAGCAGATCATGACTGAGCTGTATAAGAACGGGCCTGTGGAGGCAGCCTTCTCTGTATATGCAGATTTTCTGCTGTACAAGACTGGTGAGGCCTTTTTTTGACTTTGCTGCAAAATTAGATAAAACTTTGAAAGTGTATAATGCACGCATGCTCACAAAGCTCTCCTCTACACACAGCAGCATGCACACAAGCTGGAAAAGTAGCCTCAGTTTCATTTCATCTCAGAATGAAAATTAATGTTAAACCTGCTTTAGTTTGTGTATTTTATATTCAGTCAGAGACACATTATCATCATGTCATCCCTGTTTGCTTATTTGTATTCCAAATTTTAACCCTACAATAGTGATTCCCAAACCTTTTGTCTCACTAAATGAAATGAAGCAGTATGTGGCTTCTCATCACATATTAAAGAGTAACTTCAAAATGTTTCAACCACACTTTTTCCATGTTTTAATGGGAACAACAACTTTTGAAATTGGTTTGTATCAAGTGAGAGCGCTGCCGAGGACAGTTGCAAAACAGGCTGCAATGTAACCACTCGGGGCATTTGTGCACAATCAATTTACGTCCACTAAAAGTGCTTGTTTTTGCCACTGACAGGCTGAGACTGTTATTCTAACTGTGTGACAACATTATGGAAAGGTCACTACAGAGATAGAACTTTTGTTAAAGAGTAAGATCTTTTTTGTTCAACCAGAAACAGCCCCAAAATCACTATGGCCAAACCTACCACCATACTCCCTTTAAATAAACATTTTATCATCATAAAACACACTTCATTAAAAGGCAACTGAAACAAAATATAACTCACAAAAACTGTACTGGTTTGTCTTTCCACTCTTTCAACAATCACCAACTTTGGTTTGGTTGAAATAAACCCTTAATTCACTCAGTGAGATGTGAAAATGTGCTGACAATAACGATTTTGAGGCTTAGAATAACAATCTAAAACAAGCACTTCTAGTGGACGTACATTGACAGTGCACAAATGCCCTAAGTGATTAGACTGCAGCTTCTTTAACCGCTGCTTGCTGGAGTGCTCTCTCTCAATACTGGATAAGTTTCAAAAACTGTTGTTCCCATTAGTCAAATAGACACAAAGACTTGATAACACTGGGTCCAGGTTAAATAAACCAAAGTTTACCCTTTAAGGTGTCAGTGTGGCCATGAGCTGTGAGCAGTTCGACCAAAGAATGACTTTTTCTTCTAGATTATTTCATTTGAAGGATTTGCACATGAAAAGTGCTTATTATTATTAGTAGTATTGTAAAGTATTTAGTATTTCACAAGAAAAAAAGTTTTTCAAGGTAAACATGAATGTGTGTAGCTGTCCTACAACATAGAAATGTAGTGATTATTGGTTACTATAAAACTTTGGATGTTTGTGATACAAAAACACACAACCAATCTAAAAGCATAGTTTATCCTTCAGAAAATCAGTAGTAAAATGCGGAAAACAACTCCTCTTTTAAGCCCTATGTTATTGCACTTAATGTTCCTCTACTGCAGGTGTGTACCAGCATGTGACAGGGGAAATGCTGGGCGGTCATGCCATCAAGATCCTCGGCTGGGGAGAGGAGAAGGGGACACCCTATTGGCTGGCTGCGAACTCCTGGAACAGTGACTGGGGAGATAAAGGTACAACAAAATCAGCGTTGTATTTCTCTGTCACGTGTTCTGTCAATGTCACACAACCCGACAGTTTAGTGAGTGATATAGCAAAGAAGTTTAAATTACGATTCTGTGTCTTCTTGTTTCAGGTTTCTTCAAAATCAAGCGTGGTAATGACGAGTGTGGCATTGAGTCAGAGGTGGTCACAGGAATCCCACTCAACTAGGTTCAATGAGTCCTAGCTGCAAACAGTCGTCAAATCAAGTTAATCAAGGAAGATTAAAATAAAGATTTTATTTTGTAAGAGACTTGAGTATTGCATTGAGGTTTCATGCAGCCAACAGGGAATACACTGCACAACATGGTGAACATTAACTTTTGTGCTTACTGTGTTGCTGTTCTAAATGACTCATTATTTGCATCTCCGTTTTTCCCCCCAATGAACTATTCAGTGTTTCAGTATGTTTTTGTTGTAATAAAAACAAATCCTGTAAAAAAAAAAAAAAAAAAAAGAAGAAGATAAAAGTGTTACTTTTTGAGTCAGACTGTGTGTACAACTTCAGTTTAGGAGGTTTGCATGTCATATGGAGGTCAGAGGAGAATGGCCAGACTAGTTCAAGATCACAGAAAGACAACAGTAACTCAAATGACCACTGGTTACAACCAAGGTGTGCAGAAGACCATCTCTGAATCAACAACACGTCCAACCTTGAAGCAGATGGGCTACAGCAGCAGAAGACCACACCAGGTGCCACTCCTGTCAGCTAACAACAGGAAACTGAGGCTACAGTTCACACATGCTCACCAATACTGGACAATAGAATATTGGAAAAACGTTGCCTGGTCTGATGAGTCTGGATTTCTGCTCCCACATTCAGATGGTAGGGTCAGAATTTGGTGTCATGGATCCATCCTGCCTTGTATCAACGGTTCAGGCTGGTGGTGGTGGTGTAATGGTGTGGGGGAGATTTTCTTGGCACACTTTGGGCCCCTTAGTACCAACTGAGCATGGTTTAAACACCACAGCCTACCTGAGTATTGTTGCTGACCGTGTCCATCCCTTTATGACTACAGTGTACCCATCTTCTGATGGCTACTTCCAGCAGGATAACGCACCATGTCACAAAGCTCAGATCATCTCAAACTGGTTTCTTGAACATGACAATGCGTTCACTGTACTCCAATGGCCTCCACAGTCACCAGATCTCAGTCCAGTAGAGCATCTTTGGGATTTAAATTCTTGCGACAACTCAAAGCGCTTTTTACACTTAGCATCACTAACACATTCATACTCTGGTAGCCGAGGCTACCATAGAAGGTGCCATGTGCTACTCAGTTTTGAACACACTCGCACAACGATGGAACAGCCATCAGGAGCAATTTGAGGCTCAGTATCTCTCCCAAGGATACTTCGTCATGCGGACTGAAGGTCCAACCCGCTAGTAGCAAGGTGTACCGACCTAATAAAGTGGCCGGTGACTGTATAGAGCATAGACATATATACATATATATACATATATATATAGACATATATACATATATATATGTCTATGGTATAGAGCGTGTGTGTCCAGAAAACAAATTCATCCATTTTGTAGCAGTTTTGTAGCCTTCCGGTATTTGCTTTAGCAGGTCCAACGTTGCCATGGAAATGGCGGAGGAATATTTGTAGTGATGAGTCAGGTGAACCGTTATGCTGATTTGAGCTCATTGTAACTGTCTCATAGACCAATCAGACAGCTTGATCGGAACTACTTGTTGTGGAATCCACTGCGCCACACTCCAGTCCAGTAGGTGGCGGTGATGAAGCTAAAAGCTAGTCAGCCAGCCGCCATTACAACTCAAAGAAGAAGAAGAAGCGGAAGTACTTCCTGTATGGTGAAGGCGGATCATTACATGTTGCATGAGGCGGACTTTGACATAGGAGGTGTCTCTTTAAACGGACCATCTGATAACCAGGAAGCTGCCGAAACACCCCGCTGAATAAAACCCTGCAAGTGGATACCGGCTTTTACCATTACCGTCAGAGGTGATGGGACGTCTCGGGGTAAAGGAGCGGCCGTAAAGCATCTTTAACGTTAGCTGGTGGTGATGAAGGCAGGTTGTCGGGCATTGCTGTAGCTAACGTTAACGTCTCTCTGTCAGCTGTCTGTCCCGGTGTGTCGGCTAAAGAGCCTTTTAGCCTAACGTCACCGTTAACGTTAGATATCGTCAGCTACATAAGCTAAGTAGATAGACAGTAGCCATGTTTTTATCACATTTGGAGCTATGGAGAACATACTGGGAGTGTGTGTCCAGACCTTACACGGTGTTCATCTGCTCCCTCACGGCCGCACTGTACTATCTGTGGGGCCGCAAGTGTCAGGTCAGTCACTGCGTTAAAGGGTACCGGTGATAATGACTGCACTAACGTTACATCCACGGTTTGTTTTTATATTGTATAGTTTTTTGCTTGAATTTATTGTATTGTTCTTATATATGTGTAACGTTATTTATTTTTATTTTTTTTACCTTATTCTACTCTATTTTATTTTAATTTATTTTATTCGACTTATTTTAAGTACATTTTCTTATTTAATTATTTTTCTGATTTAACTCTATTTATTGTTTTATTTTGCTATTTATTTTTGTCTTATTTCTTTGTATTGTTTTTATTTATTTTATCTTATTGTCCTTAATGTTATTTTAGAATATTTTATTTATTTTTATTATGTATTTTTTATTTTATTTTATTAATTGATTTTTATATTTTATATTAATTAATTAATTAATTAATTTTCTCTATTTAAATTATTATTTTATGTTATTTCAATTTTTTCTTATTTACTTATTTTTTTATTTTGTCTATTCACTCGTCTGTTTTATTTTATTGCATTTTTTACAAAATTATTCTTTTTTTTTTTTTTTTACGTTTTTGGTGACAAGGCAGTGTCTTTAAGGTTACATAACTTTGCACTATTGGGTATTTGCTGACACTTTATTATAACCCCTGTTTGGCATTTATAACAATCATATGAATAACTCATACATGGTTTATAACACATTAAGAAATAGTCATAAGGAGAACCTATGACATTTTTAAGTGTTTATTGTAGTTGTCAGTAGCTATAACTTTCATATTAAGCAACCATAACTTATGTATAAATTGGTAACGAATGCTCGAAATTTCCATTTGACACTCTTGCTACCATATCAGCTCTGAACACATCTAGTGAACGTTTTAAACCATTTTTTCATTTGTTTGTGCAAGTTATATAGCTCTCCCATAGGAGGAGTTATGATTGTTGACACCAATACATGCCAAAAGAGGGTTGAAATAAAGTGTCAGTGGCTATTTTCATTATTGATGAATGTGCTGACAGTTTTCTAAAGCCCAAGCGATGCCTTCAAATAACATCAGTCCCAAAATCCAATTATATTCAATGTACAATTATTTTAAACAAAGAAAAACATAAAATATTTACACCTGAGAAGCAGGAATGTGCAAATGTTTGGCATTGTAACTTGATAAATGACTGAAACATTTATTTGATTATCTTTGATTATCTGTTGACAACTCAATAAGTGCATGTTGGCTTCATACCACATAATACTCATGTTATATGTTTTGTAAACTGCTATAACAAAACAAAACATATAAAAGTGTGTATGATCATTTTTTTCATACAAACTGTTCTTGGATTGCTTAAAAAAAAGTAGATCATGTTTTTCGGGTTTTGTAGAACACGACACTGTTTACCACACATCATAAACACACACACATCACACAGACACACCCTCCTCTTGAAGCTCTGTATCTCTCACACTATCTGCCCCCTCACCCAGCTTGTTTTGGATGCATTCTTTTCTGTCACAAGTATTAATTTACATACCCATTTGTTTTACCCCTTTAATTTCGTCTCTTTTCCTCCCAGACACCAGTTCTGGTTTCCAGCAAGGCTTTCGGTGCATTTCTCCACAAGCACTGTCCTGTGGTGGTCGAGCGCTTCAGTCCCACTCCGTGGTGCTGGGGAGGCCGGCTTCAAACGCTAGTCTGCGCCGTCCTCAAGTCCAGACCCTCCGTCTCTTATCGCAAGTAGGATGAACCTCTTGCACACATTCTCTTCATTCCTTTTGCTGACTGACACAGCCATATTGTAATCTTTCGACATCATCATTATATTTCTATAGTATAAGTTTATATGTATCAATAATCCTTCCTTCATCCCTCAGTGAGCTGATCCGAACGGTTGATGGTGGTCAGATCTCTCTGGACTGGGTGGACAATCAGGACAGTGCGACCTACCCAGAATCCTCCACCCGCCCCACAGTACTGATCCTCCCAGGTCTAACAGGCAACAGCAAGCAGTCCTATGTGCTCCATGCCATTAGCCAGGCCACTCGCCGCGGCTATAGGTAAGTTGTGCTCCTCACCTGTCACCTGAATCACAAGTAAAATTTAAACACCCTGAACATTTTTTATTCAGTAACTAAATCAAACATATGTGGAAATTGTTATAATTGCGTTTAATTTAATGTCCAGTAGCTGCTGTAGTTGTTTTCATAGATATTTCTCTTCTAGATGTGTGGTCTTCAACAACAGAGGACTTGGAGGGGAAGAGTTGTTGGTGAGTACAGTGATCACCCAATGAACCATGGTCATGTCACATTTAATACTGTTGCTATTTCCAAATAATATTTAGGTATGAGACTAGACATCCAGTATTTCTCTCATTAGCAAATCCCATGAAGAGCTATAGCACTTACACATATGTGCCATAGATCTACATACACCAATGAGCCACACTGTTGTACCAAGTGACTTGATCCTTCATAAGGATGAATTCGGGTACTGTAGTTTAGTTGTAGTCAAACATACACAATACTCACTAGAGCACCAAATGTGTATTAATCCACTGCTGAAAATAGTCCCACAGTAAACACATTGTTTCTAATGCTTTGAGTAACTTTCACCAAAAACTAAATTGACCAGCCATTTAAAGGAGACTTATTATGCTCATTTACAAGTTCATATTTGTATTTTGGGTTTCTAGTAGAACATGTTTACCTGCTATAATGTTTTAAAAAACACTTGTATTTGTATTCACCCACTGTCTGAAATGCACGGTTTTAGCATCTGTCTCTTTAAGCCTTCCCTCCTAAAGAAGCACAGTCTGCTCTGATTGGTCAGCTTTTCTGGGTCTCCTGCATTTGCACTCTTGGTGTCTCTGCATCATCATTGCAGCGGGGTAACTGAGTGTTATGGAGTATGGCGACGCTTTTTACAGTGACAAATCTCCAATGAAAGCTTCTAAACCAAAATCTTCACAACCGGACATGCTCCAGCAGGAATATGATCAGAAATCAGGGACAACCTAACAACATTCGCAACCAAGATTATTTTCAATTTTCAATTCAATTCAATTTTAGTTAAAAAAGGCCAGTATAACAAATAACAATTTGCCTTAGAGGGCTTTACAGCATATGACATCCCTCTGTCCTTGGACTCTCACAGCGGACAAGGAAAAACTCCCCAAAAGAAACCCTTTAACGGGGAAAACATGGTAGAAACCTCAGGAAGATGTTTCACTGATGTTAGCATGTAGCTACATGTAGCACTGTCAGCCTGCTTACAGCCTGGGAATGACTGTAACAGAGTGTACCTGCACTTTTCTACCTTGAAAAATCACCAGTGAAAGCTTCTTACCAAAATCTTCATAACCGTACATGTGCCAACATTAATACGATCCAAAATCAAGGAGAAATTAAACGCTAGCTTGAAGCTACATGTAGCAGTGTACTTGTAGCCAGGGGATGACTGTACTCGAGTGTAGCTGCACTGTCTACTGTGGAAAAAAACCCAATTAAAACTTCTAATCCAAAATCTTCAAGACTGGACATGTTCCAGGAAGAATGTGATGCGAAATCGTGGAGAAATGAACAACATCAGCAACCAAGACTACATGTTTCCCTGACAATAGCACGTAGCTACATGCAGCAACGTATGCACTTTTTAGGGATTTACATACTCAGTAAAAACAATAAATATTACTAGTAAATATTACAGACTGGCAGGGTAGGTAGAATGTACTGACACCAACTAACGCAGTGTTGGTTTTGGTCTTCTCTCTGGATTTGTTGACGATAAGATGACTACAGAATAACGCCAGCTGTAGTAGCAGTTCAAACCCAAAATCTGGCACTTGAACACACCATGTAACGCTCCTCGTCTGTCCCTTTGCTTACTTCAGACGCCTGTCACCTACTGCGCAGCCAACACCTCAGATCTTGAGTGTGTGGTGCAACATGTCAAAGGACTTTACCCACATGCCCCTGTGCTTGGTGCTGGTGTGTCTTTGGGAGGGTGAGTTTGCGCACGGTGTAATGGTTTCAGTCTGCTCTAATCTCTCTGTTATCAAAAGGTTATTTTACTGTCAAATTTTTCCTATCCATTTCCTTTTCCTTTAGTTGCCACCTTTTAGTCAAATAGCTGTTCCTGTGTTTTTCTCGTCTTTAACCCTGGATAGCATGTTATTACTAAACTACCTGGCCCGTAAGCGCTCGGAGTCGGGGATGGTGGCAGGTTTCACCATCTCCGTCCCCTGGAATGCACTGAAGTCTGCCACCTCGATGGAAGAACCACTTAACTGGCTGCTTTTCAACAAATACCTCACAAACGGCCTGTGTCGTGCTGTCACCAGGTCAGATAAGTTGAGGTTTCATAAATTCCTGAGTTTTGTGTAACAATTTTGGGGTTGTTGACAAAGTATGTTAAACAAAAACGTGTGTCTCACAGGCACAGGAAGGTTCTCGAGAAAGTGGTGGACATTGAATATGTCGTGAAGGTATGGCTCATTCTTTACATTTGCTTTTCTGTCATAGTTTCTCATCTCCCTTCATGTGTGATGGCTTTTCCTCTTCATTTTACTTTTAATGTTAATGTCATCCCTCTCCTCTAGGCGCGGACTATCCGTGAGTTTGACGAACGCTTCACCTCTCTGATGTTCGGTTATAAATCTTGCACAGACTATTACATTGATGCCAGCCCAGACAATAAACTCCAAAATACAGCAGTGCCCATCCTGTGTCTCAACGCTGCTGATGACCCCTTCTCTCCCCAACACGGTGAGTAGACAACAGGAAAAGATGGACATTGTGTTAGGTTTACAGTTCTTGATGTAACTTTTAACTTGTGGTGATGTTTCAGTGGAATTTTGTCATCAGATTCAGCAGATATCTTCATACCATGTATCCTGTTGTGCTCTAACTGGTGTGTGATGAATGAGTTTTGTTGCTTGCAAACCCAGACTGGGCCATATTTACATTTCTTTACAATGAGACCAGAAAGACAAGCAAACCAGTCCATCTCAGTGGGTTGGAAATCCAGTCTGACAGTGTTCACACCTGACATGTAATGGAGCCAGGTATAACTAGATGCAAATTTCCCTTTGAACAGACAGGTGTGACCACAGCCTTAGTCTTTGAATATCTTAAGCTCATTTGTATAATCCTAATTTTACAGCTTGTAGAAGGAGTGAAACACAAGCTCTTCCCAGTCAGTATAGAGGGCCTAATGAGAGTTACACACGTAACTACAGTTCTGTGAATTGTGGGTGACTGCCAGATGTTATATCTAGGCATTAAATGGTTGAAAATAGGGGCACAGTGACGTGTGGTGTGCTCTTTCCCTCTTTGTTTATCATGATACTACTTCTGCAGGAGTGTGAGCTCTTATGTCTGGGACAGAGTTACACACGTAGTGACAGGGCTATCTGTTAGCATCACACGGCTAACATTAACCAATGGTTATTGATGTGTTTAATGTCAGAGTCGAGCTGTTTTAGTGTCGGTGTGAGATTGTTGAAACCATTTAACAGCTCAGTGTCTGATGTTAGCTGCTATGTTAGCTTGTGCAAGAGCAGACAAAGCAGGAGAAGAGTGACTCATGGAGACCGTCCTTTGGCACTGCTTTGAATGGCAGCAGCAGGAGCAGCTGATTACCAGCATCCTCTGCTCAGGACGCAATTATTTCAATCAGGAGAGACTCATTCTGAGAGAAAATAATATTTATTTACATGTGCACAAAGTATGAGAAATGTGAAAAGTCTTTTGCAATTAGACCCCATTGTGATATCATCTATTCCCTGGTGGTGGTAATGGTGGTGATGAGATGAGATGAAGAGGGAGCTCAGGATCTGGATGTGAAGATGAGTGGGCTTTTGATGAGCTCATTCTGGGCTCTGGATAAGGTGACTGGAGGTGAATGGGGTGGAGGAGAGCATGATGGTTCTGCCTAAAATGACAGCTGACAGGAGCAGAGAGGAGAACAGATTTGAAGTTTGGCAGCAGCAACATGAATGGCTGAAGTAGCTTGTGGCAAAATTTGATTGTACTGTGGCTAATATTTCAGTCTCCATGCTACAAGAGATGTTTTCTATCTATTGCTTAACATGGCTAACTCACTAAATCCTTTCCTGCTCATCCAGCCTTCCCGCTGACCACAGTCCAGAGCCTGCCGAACGTCGCCCTGTTGTTGACGGCCCATGGTGGACACATTGCCTTCCTGCAGGGTTTGTTCCCTCGGGGCGAGAGCTACATGGAGCACGTATTCGGTCAGTTTGTTCAAGCCGTATTTGAACACCCTAAGGACATCATGAAAGCCTGCAGCATTAAGGAGGAGCAGATGAGCTGATCATCTTGTCCGAGCACCAGAACGACTGCTAGCTGAGAGGAATATGAAGTCGCCGGCATCTTAGCAGTAGAACAGCAGTTCACAAAAATGCATTGCTTGGCTTTGCATGCCGTTAGCTTACCGCAGAAATGTTGGGTCTCCTTCATGTTTGCACAGAGAATGACCAACTGTATTGTACAATCATATGACCTCATTGCAACTTTGCTGATCTACCTCATCATCTCAGGTTCTCTATTTAATGAGCAATCAAGAAGTAAAAATGTGCAGAACTCATTTGTGAAATATCTAAGAAATCTTGCAGCCAGCCGATAAATTAATACAGAATATTGTATTAAGATAAAAACACGCAATATAAACATTATTTTAAAAAAAGATTGTACATTACTTTTAATCATGTAGTTTCTCCCACATGCCGTCCCAAATTGAAGCACTTGAAGTGTGTGTTGACAACAAAATGCGTAATTATTCCCTGTTAGAAAATGAGTGCTTGGGTTTATTTGAAAATTATTAAATTATTTAAAAAGGAAAAGAATGTGAAAATTTGAACATATATGCTTATGTTGCTGTTTGTTTTGCCTCATTAGCTGCTTTGGTTTTGCAGTACTAGTTTTCCTTGAAGTGTGCAACATTCCTGAAAAGATTCTACTTCTTCACGTTTTAGCCTTGCATGCATACTTTACATAGACTTTGTCAGTGCATACCATACTCTGTGGTAATCCTGCTAACAGCTGGGTTGTTTGAACTGTCATTCTCAACCAAAAAACAGCCACACGGCAGGAAACAACATATCTGTCATGAAGGAAAGACATGTACAATTGTAGGACAGGTTTGTCATCTGAGTTTGTGATTCTTAAACAAACAAAAAAAACCTGACATCAATTAAATGTAAAAACTATTGTACGCTTGTAAATGCTTTTGCAGTGTGCTTGATTGCAATGTAAATTATGCACTACCTTAGACGTGACTGTAAAAAGTACTTAAGGTATTTGTACCTGCCGTCAATAATTTAATAGCGAGTGGTTTTAATTTGTGAGTGCTGTAAATCTGCCTTTTGTTTGTCACTGACACACATTGTTGTTTGGGGAATGAGTGATGGATAAAAGAATGTATATCATGTCCACATGATGATTATATGATGTGTAGTTTGTAGTTACAGGAGGTCATTTGTTCTTAACTTAAAGGGTAACATTAGCATTTTTTAACCTATGTCATATTTTCCCATGTTTTTGTGTCTCAGTGACAAGTGAGAACAACAGTTTTTGAAATTGGTCCAGTATTGAGTGAAACAGGCTGCAGTATAACCACTTGGCGTCCACTAGAAGTGCTTGTTTTTGCCACTGACAGGTTCAGATTGTTATGACACTTATTGGAAAGGATCCCTACAGAGATAGACCTTGTTGTTAAAGAGTAAGATCCCCTTTATTTAACAAGGAACAGCCCCTAAATCGCAATCACCAAACCCACCAGACTCTATTTAAATAAACAGTAATTTTGGCATGTATAGAGCTAGCTTGTTTTCACATCTAACTGGGTGAATTAAGGGTTTATTTCAACCAAACTAAAGTTGGTGATTCTTGGAACAGTGGAAAGATGAACCAAGATGGCTTTTGTGAGCTTTATTTTGTGTCTGTCGACTTGGAGTTAAGTGTGTTTTATGAGGATAAAATGACTGTTTATTTAGATGGAGTCTGGTGGGTTTGGTCATTGCAATGTCGGGGCTGTTTCTGATTGAACAAAAATGATCTTACTCTTCGAGAAAAAGGTCTATCTCTGTAGGGATTATTTCCATAATGTTGTTAGTAGGGCTGCAACGATTAGTCAACAAATTGATCGACTATTAAAATAATCGGTGACTATTTTAGTAGGCGACTAATCAGAGAAAAGTATTATAAAAGTACCCCAAAATACTCTTATTGCAGCTTCTTACGTTCAAATATCGGCAGCTTTACACACTCTCCCATGACGGTGAACTAAAACCCTTTGGCGTGAGTATGAAACAAGACATTAGATGACATAATTTTGGGGTTTGGGAGAGACGGACTGACATTTTTCAACATTTTAACACATTTTTCGATAAAATGATTAGTCGACTAATCGAAGAAATAATCAACAGATTAGTCGACAATGAAAATAATCGTTAGTTGCAGCCCTAGTTGTTAGACACTTAGAATAACAATCTGAGCCAGTCAGTGGCAAAAACAAGCACTTTTAGTGGCTGTTAACAAACAGTGTTCACATGGAGTGGTTACATTGCACCAGGTCAGTATGTGTGTACTGAATGTCATTTTCAATCAGTCCAGAATACTTAGAAGGTTTTTATTATGTGTGTATCTATCACCAATAGTGCACTGATGATGCAAACACACCATTGTACAATGCCACTACCAATATGTTATCACTTTATGATTTATGTCATTTTTACCAGAAGCTGCATTTGTTTTACTTGAACAGTAAATGTCTGCAAATGTGACCTGAGAACACAGCAGCACATGTTGCTGACTGCTGTCTTACTGCATCTACTTCCTCATCAGTTCTTTGCCACATTCTCATGCCTTTCATTGCCGTGTATTTTTTAATGGATACTTATTTCTCCAGTCTGTATGAGCTGTAACCACAATTACATTGTTTTTGCAATATCAACGGTGTATTCACTTGAAAGAATGTTGGGCATTATGAAGTATGTATTTGGTTTTTGGTTATTGAATCACACTTGAATTAAAGAATGAAAATAACCTCAGCTTGGTATTTATTTTGCATGTTAAATTTATCAAAGTAAATGAAGGGAACAGGTTTCGTTTCAACATGGGGGGTGGCCCGCCAGAAAATTTCGAGCACCACGGAATGACAGGATGGTAAAATAAAAACATACATGATATGTTGCAATGGTGATGCTGTGCTGTTCACAAAAAATGTAATAAAATCCATTCCGTGTGAATGCAGCATTAACTTATTGCATACTGGGGAATCTTTATCCACCAGTTTGTGCCTCTTTTTTTGCATAATTTTAGGTGTCATTTTTGTCAAAATGGATGTCCTCTGCTACTTTTACTGCTGTTTTTATTGGGTGGGACAATTGCACATGTTCCAGATATAGAGGGTCCCCTGTGTCCCCCCCAAAATCTATGCCTATGATTGTAAACTACAGGTAAGATGAACTCATTGTTAGCAGTAGCTGTATTCAGCAGCAGCACATAATCCAGCCTGGCTTTGTTGCAATGTGGCACCTAACCTCATTTCTATCATTGAGTAAACTGAATCCTGACTAAGTTACATATTTTTTTAATGTTTTATTTTATATTCAACATCACAGGACAACGTATAAACTGCACGTTTAACCCAAATGCTGAACGCAATAACTGCAGGAAGTTGTGTAAAACGACTGATTAGGATGAATATTGAGCAGATAATTTCCTGAGAATGTGTTTTCCTGATATTTTTAGGAACTTTTTAATATTGTTCTCTGATTGTATGATATGTTGATTTTTAATTTTTAACAATCATACATACTTAGTGGGCTTTTCCTGCAAGCCCTTTGGTGCTGCGTCCTTTCTAAAGCGTGTTCAAGCCTTCACTATGCCCTTATCCTGTAATGTAAGAGCAAATTATATCTTTAATAGTAATCCATTCATCCATTTTCATAACTGCTTATCCTCTTGAGGGTCGCGGGGGGGCTGGAGCCTATCCCAGCTGACACTGGGCAAGAGGCAGGGTAAACCCTTGACAGGTCACCAGACTATCACAGGGCTGACACATAGAGACAGACAACCATTCACACTCACATTCACACCTATGGACAATTTAGAGTCACCAATTAACCTGCATGTCTTTGGACTGTGGGAGGAAGCCGGAGCACCTGGAGAAAACCCACGCTGACATGGGGAGAACATGCAAACTCTGCGCAGAAGGGTTTCCTGCTGGGATCAAACCAGGAACCCTCTTGCTGTGAGGCGACAGTGCTAACCACCATACCGCCGTGCTGCCCTGAATAGTAATCTAAACCTTAAATAATAACAAATGCATTTAGTTTTCGTCACAGAAATTGATGAAATACTGAGATATAATAATGATAATACATTTTATTTATAAAGTGCTTTTCAAAACAACGTTACAAAGTGCTTTACAGGGTTGATCTGGGATTTAAAACAATGCAGAATTCAAGCAAATTAAATGAGGCAATTATCAGAAAATACAAAGAACAAAAAATAAGATAAAATACAGTCACTGAAGCAGAAAAGCAAAGTTGGCAACTAATTGCCCTATAGATTGCACTGAGGTACAGGAAATCAAACAATTAGAGTCGTACAAAATAAAAGAATACAATAACCACTGACAACAAAAAATATAGGCCTACTGTAACAAAAAAAAAAAAAAAAGCTTTCCTACACCCTTTAAAATCAAGACGGCCTCGCAACCCCCCTACAAAGCTTTGATGTCCCCCAATGGGAGTCACCTTCAGGCTGGGCACCAGTGAATTAACCTATATCACCATGTTAATGGAAAAATGTCATAACACATGCTCTGCCTGTCACACAGTCCCCTCAGGTTCCACGGCTGAAATCCGAGCCTTTGTATCTCCGATCATCGGGGTCATTAATGTCGTTGATTAACCAGACAGAGTATCAATAATTAACTGCGAACGATAAAGACCCACACCCTCTGTCACACTGCTAACCCTTCAGCCCTCATTTAGATTCATTTAATGACGCTGCGGCCTGGAAAACATTCAGTGGCATTCACTCTGTGGAAAAACTGGAACCTAATGAAGGAGGCACTTTGTAACTGCGGCAGATCATTCAGAGTTGTCCTGGTTGCCCTCGGCTTTGATAAGTTCCCTCAACTCCAGCTGTCAGTTGTGTGAATGTGACTCTCAGACAAAAGGCAAATCACTGTGATCATTTTGTAGAGAGACTGTGTTTGAAAATCTGTGGCTCGGTTTGCAAAAAATATCAAGGTAGAAGAGAGCGTTTCAGTTCACTTCCTCTTTCCCTCATCTTTTCCAATGACTGTCTCATTGTGTGCTCGTGCCTGCACTCAGGTATCTGTCTTTGACGTCAGCAGGAAATAATATAAATGTATAAATGTCACAGAAATCACAAATCAGTATTAAAGGTATGTTCTAAAGTAGAGAAACAACACTATATGCAGATAAACGCAGTTAAATCCCACACGAACAATGGTTTAAATATGAATTATAGCACAGTTAAGCATGATTTTTACACCCCAACTTCAGCTTTCTCTCCAGTCCATCCTCCTGCCTGTATACCTCTACCTGGTGTTATGGGAGGAGCCTCAGGTTATCGTTAATGATTCAACACCAGAGCTGCTGAGATTGACAGATAGACATTGAGAGTGAGGAAGAGAAAGAGAGGGAGAGAGCTGGAGAGAAGTAAAAATAGTAAAAGCTGAGGAGCAGACATGGCAGTGTAAGCTGAGAAAGTGTGCAGCTGCAGTGGACCAAGTACTGCTACGGAGGTTGCTGAGTGCACGCTGGTATCTGCTCAGGTGTGTCCTGGGGTCAGGGAGGTCAGAAATTTATCAAGCAACTCCTCTACAGCTGGAAGTGGATCTTGTGAGCGGTTCGGGGTGATTATTGTCTCCTGTATGACCCATGTGGCCTTTATAGGCTGGACAGACGTTCATCTACTCTCCTGATCCACACACAGCCTGCAGGTGAGTGCGACTCTGTCTATAAATCATGGCATTGTGCCTCAGTGTGGCTCCATGTGTTTAAAGTACAGATTGTTACCTTTACAGGCTTGTAAACAGCCAAACACACCTTTTCCATTGCTTCCTTCTGTAAGGCACTAAAGCTGTCGCCATCACAGTTCTATTAAGTAAAAACATGCTCATCTTCATGTGACAGAAAGCTGTAATATCCACTGAAAGAGTCTGCCTTAAACACACCACCAGACTTGGCACACACTCTCTCCAGGTTTCTATTTCAGAGCATCTTATAAGAATTCAGCTGTAGTTACACTCGGCCATGAATTAGTAATGAGACAGTATGGAGTGTACAGTTTGCTGCCCATATCAGTAAAATGGTGATCAGTCCAGCATCATGTTCTCCCTGTGCAGCTGACAAGAAGACAGAAATACTCCCCCCCCTTTTTTTGTTG